ATGGGCTCAAGTTGCAGCAAGGGAGGTTTAGGTTGGATATTAGGAAAAACTCTCTCACTGGAAGGGTGGTGAAGCACTGGAACAGGTTACCCAGAGAGGACATGGAGTCTCCATCCTTGGAGGTTTTTATGCCGCAGGTAGACAAAGCCTTGGCTGGGACGATTTAGTTGGGGCTGGCCCTGCTCTTAGCAGGGGGCTGGACCTCCTAAGGTCCCTCATTTTCTATGATTCAGCAAGTCTGAATCATTTCTATGATTCATGTTCCCTGACTAGTGAAGACAATGGCAAAGAAACTAGCCTTCATCATCATCCCTGAAGATAAGGGTCATTTATATTATGCTGGCTAACACCAGCCTATCTTTAATGTGGTTCCAGTAGACAATGCCATCTGCCAAGAAGGCAGTAGGCTGCACTCAGTCCCCACTAACAGGGAGAGAAAAAGTGGCAAAAACATTAGACAAAAACATGAATAAAAACTCGCCCCTTGATTGAAAGCTGCTTGAGTGGAGGATCTTATCATTTTAGACCATGAGCTCTTCACAGCCGAGACTGTTCTACATTTGGTGCCTGGTATAACACAAGCACATTGTTGGTGCTTAACTATGGTCTGGCATAATTCACCACGGGCACAGTAGCGGGTTGGAAGGTAGATCATTCTCCCCATTTGCAGTAGGCAGAAAGGGGCTCTTGGTGGACGTTTTAGGCACAGTCCATATATGGTTAATTAATTCAGTCATGATTTGCCGCGTATTATTAATGAACAGCCCCTCCAAGTCTCTGTTGCATTGTTTCCTGCCAATGAATCAACTTCCATAGGCTGACTCACAATAAAGGGACCACAATCAAGACAACTCTAAATCTTCACGAATGCATGTTTCCTTTGGTCAGCATCCTAGGAGTTTGCCGTGGATATTTAAATGTACGTATATATTCATTTACACTAGAATATCTACATGTGTCATATTCAAGATGCAGGCTAGCAGCCAGGACACGAGGGTCTTACCATATATCTAAAAATGTCAGTATGAGAAGTGAGGATGTAAAAAAAACAAAAATAAATAACCACAGACCTGTGGCATGATACACAGCCAGGTACAGGCTGCACACAGCAAACTCTGGCTGACTGCAAAGCATGCTGCAATGGAAATTGGGCTACAGCCCAAATGTTGCTGCAAACTCTGCACCAAAGGCATTGTATCAAACTAACAGGGCTGAGGACATGCTTCATAACCCAGCTTCTCCCTTCCTAGCAATACAATCTAATCACCTCTCTGATACTTTCAGATCAGATTACTGTGCCAACTCTATTATACACAGCTCAGATAAAACATTAAGGCTAAATCTGCTTGTAGGTTCTGCTATTGGGGTTCAAAGTGCACAATGGCAATAAGAAGGAGAAAAACTTTAAAAATCATTTTTAAATACAGCTGCTCCTCGCTTAATGTCATAGTTACATTCTTGAAAAATGCAACTAAGTGAAACTATGTTAAGCAAATCCAATGATGTCACAGCAGTTACCTACTAGCAGGTGGCGGCCAAACGTTATAACTGAACACTGCATGACTTTAAACAAGTATGGTCTCTAATAGATCAGCAACGTAATAACAAAACAAGGGGACAAGGGGAACACTGGGACTAGGGGGTCAGTAACC